TGATGTAGCCATAGTAAAATAGCCCTTGTATGGATAGTGAAGTACGAAGCCAAACATGAGAAGTCTACAAAAAGTTGGACCTTAATGGGATTTGGATCAACTGTGTGCTTTCCTACAGACTTCAGCTGGCTTTGGATCAGACTATGCAAATGCTCAAACTGGAGACTTACATTTTGGAAAGAAAAATGTAAAAATTGGCTGATGCAGAGTTGGTTTTCAGACAGTGTCTTGCTGGATAGACAGCTTATTGTGTCTTTGTTGCTGGAGAAGTCATGTCTCCTCACTTTCTTGATTAATAAAACAGGAATTATATCAGCTACCTTCCCAGTGGCTCTCTAAAGCTTGCGTAATACTCACTAGAGTGCTGTGATGAAAGGTGCATGTTTATAAAGTGTGTCATTTAACATTCTTATTATCTGTGATTTAATAGAAAGTATATGACAAAATGATACAGTTTTTAACTCAGTACTCAGACGTGATGGTGATCATGGTGTGTGGTTTGTTGTGGGTGGGTTTTTTTAGTGGTACCTGCATGGGTAGGACTGGTTTATTATTTCCATATGTTGACTTGGTATACCTGATATTTAAACTGAGTTGCTGTCTCTATGTGTGTGTGTTTCTACGTAAGGCCAGGGATAGCATTGATTACTGAGGTGCTGATGCCATGGATGAAGCTTGTGAGGGTCTGGTTCTCTGTCCTGAGATCATCTCCAAATCTGTGGTTACTGTCCTCAGTCATGGCTCTGCCAGCAAGGCAATTCACCCAACTGCATTATTCACACCATGGAATAGTCCCTTGGGAGAAACTTTTGGTCACTGTCACACATCTTCAGAAATACATTGCTCTGAAAAGAAAGAAGAGAAGCTGAAGTGTTGGAAAGAGTTATCTATCTGAGTTGCCCATACCAGCACAGGCATATATTAAACATCTACTTCAGAAGAGCATGCAGAACACCGGCTCTGTATACCATCAAACCAAACGCCATGAACCACGCCACCATTCTTTATGCACCATTGTATAGTTGGGATCTGTCGTAAAAGATCAGAAGCTGGTTTCTATCACCTTTGACACAGGTATAAGTCAGGAGCAGTTCTGCTGGCTTTACTATGATATGAGAGGAGACTGCAAAATATCTGTTAGCAATAGTCAAATTTAATTTTATGTGGAAGGAGGGTGGGTGCTACTGCACCACAGATTTGAAGGAGTTATGATCCAATCTAACCAATGCCACAACATTGTTCAGTGTTTCATCTCTGAAGTAACTCTCCCAAGACCAATTAAGATAATGAAACTGGGAGCGTTTCTCATTCTCGTCAGATGAAAATTGTCATGGAAGTTGAAAGTGGTGGCCGACAAACCGAGTTACATTGTCAGTGCTTTAAAAATCAGTGGGTTTTAGTCACCATTTGCTGTTGAGGTTATCTGATGGTTTTCCTTTCGCTAATGCTATGCAATTTTGAAGCAATAGCTTTGCTTTGTAAGTCCAACACTACAAAGTTTTAATTGACAGTATTTGATCTGGGATGAAATGACAAATCGTTCGTCACTGATTGTTGATTTGAACACAGTGTAGCAACATGTTGGTAGTCTAATGGTGAATGAGTTCCTACAATGGCTTAGTGATTCAGTGCAAAGCAGAGGAGTGGCCATCCTACCATTAACTACCACCACTTAGTTGCCTAAGCAGTAAAGATGCTTTTAGAGCCCACAGACGCTGGCTAGAGCTTTCCCATTAGCTTCAGCCTCTGAAGGATCCGAACTTAAAGTGTCTGTGTTCAATCTCTGCTGAAAATCAGGTGAGCCTATTCTTTTGTCTCTTGTGAGTGAAGTGAAAGCTTCTTTATTCTAGGGAAGTAAAGGTGATGTTGTTTAACTGTTTAGAAAAGCCTAACCAAGCTGGTTACTTACTGGGGGGAGTAAGGGCAGCTGTGTAACCTACAGGAAAGCAGTCTGTTTCAGAAGTGAGGGGGTGAGTCTCAAAATTCTTTATTTCTTTGTTCATTTTTGTTCACTTTTGAGTGAAGGCAAGGGTTAATTAGATAGCAAACACCCTCAGGAAGCACAATGCAAAAAAAAATATTTCAGAGGGCTGATTCACCACAGTATTTCTGTGAAATTCAGGTCATACACTTTTGTATTCTTGCACATGAAAATGCATGAGAAAACAAGTCTATGCTCCTTTCCCTGTATTTGCACAGCCTTCAGTCACATTTTGTGAGAAAAAAATCAGCTCTTAGCAGAGCTAAGTCTCTAAGAGAAGTTGAACAATGAGTTTGACTTCTACAGTCCAGCTTTGCAAAGATAGTATTTAGTTTTGTATTGTGTAAAGTGATGAAAGATGAGAAGAAGAGCCTTAGCTCTAGAGTTTCATCTTGCTGCATAGTAGAGTAATCTTTTGGATTAGTCTTTGGGTTGAATTTGACTGTGATGTATGTGTGCTTCCACAGAGTTTCAGCATGTGATTTCTGGTACACAGAAGGCTTGAGATAATGAGTTGTTTGTTGAATGTTTTCGTTGCTTTTTCTCTGCATTAATTGGTTTTATGCAGACTTACTGAATGTATGGAGAGGAGTGGGAAAGTGTACGTATTTAATGTGATCAGTTATGTTTGCATATTCAGTAGAAAGTAGCTTATAAAATATGGTGTCTTATGTTTTTCTTGGAAAAGGTTTAACAGCAGTGAGTACTGTGCTTCAAAATGTGTCTTTTGAAGATGAGTTATATTTGGTACTCAGCTTGTTGTTTTAAATAAAAACTCCTTGCATGTTCTGGTGGATATTTACAGGTGAGGACGGGAGCAAAGTAGCCGTGTAAGAGCAGCAGGTATATTAAAGTGGGAGAGAAGTAGTTGCCTGAGCTGTAAAACTCTGAAGCCACAACCTTATTATTGCAAACTGGGACATTGGCGCCGTGCCATCTCAAAGTGTGTCAGTCACAAGCTCTGTCTGTGCAGCAGTACTCACCTATTCTTTGAAAGGATTTTAAATAAACAGCTGACTCCCATAGAGCATTTGAGAGCTGGAGGTTATGGGTCTTAGTAACAAACAACAAACTGTAGGACAAAGTGGTCTCTCTAAAGTCCCTTCCTTTCCTGCCAATGACACTTAACTAAACTGTTGTAAGGCTAGTTTTGTTTAAAGTCTCCTTTCCCCAACCTTTGTCAGGCTTCAGGATCTCTGGATTTGAACACTCAGGATCTCTGTGTTTGACCATTACCCCAAGGGGCATGTCAGATACAACAGTAACCTCCCTGGAGTTAATCTGTGAACTTCTCATATTTTGCTGGCACAGAAAGAATGACTGTTTATAAACTCATGATTGGAGTATCCCTGCATTATGCCATCAGCAAAAGGAAAAACAAGCACTTCTTTGCTGGTTTTGTTTAGCTGCTGGTTGCTGGCAAATTGGCTGGATGCTAATCTTTCAGCTATTTGGGAGAGGATTTTTTATGGCACTTGCATTCTACTGTGTGGGAACGGGGTCTAGCACACCAGATTTCTCTTTGCTTAGGTACATGTTGCTTTCTTGTGGTGCTTAATAAAAAAGCAGCACCTTTTTCTCTTCCTTTCTGCCCCTCAGCAAAGCTTTGGGCAACTATCTTCAGAAGAATTTAGTGCTTTCCACACACAGCCTAGTAAAATTTTCATAGACATGATTTCTGTTAAGGGAAATGGTGGAGCATGCATAATCCCATGATAAGAATTCATCAGCCACTGATAGGGTAGGATTTTTGTAGTGCTGTGCAAATTTAAAACATACTGTGTTAATGAATTTAAATAATGCACAGCATGAAATGTTTATTCTCTGTCTTTAATCATAAAACCTTCACTTCTAAAACAAAAGCCTAATTGAGATAGCCCCTATCTACCCTATCACCTACTGAATGCCTACGTTTACTGATGATAATGCTCATCTGCATGTGAATATATAAGAATAAACAAGGCTCTAATGCAGTAATTTATTTTTTCAGTCAGACTGGCTGTTAAAACCATTTTTTGTTGCCAGAGTAGGTTAGATGGAACAGCACAGTCTATGCTTTTCCTTTTGTAAGAATGACAATGCCAAGTATTCCCCTGTAGAGAAGATGAATAGAGCTATAAAGTGGCAGCTTCACCATTGCTTTCTTATCATTCTACACAATCCAATAGAATATTAAGACCACTACTGAATTCCTGAAGATGGGTCAATAAAAATAAAAATCTCTGTACAGTTCTGTGGGAAACATGAATTATTTCTGTGCAATACTATAGGTTTCACTAACTATTTTTTATGAAATTTGCAAAATTAAAAATAGAGAACAGATATGGAAGAATCTTGCTCGGGGATTTTTTTCCTACAGAGAAGAGTGCTGAAGATATGGCAAATGCTTAGAGGCACTTTAGGAGCAGTTAGATAAGACTTCTAAACTGTAACGTAAATTTCGTCTACTAATTTTAGACATACATTATGTATGGTATGCAGTCACTATAAAAATGCAGCACAATGAAAAAGTTGGTTTAAAAATTATCTAAAGATGGGAAGATTATACAAGATCTATGGAATTCCCATCTTTATGATAACTTAAGAGCCTCTACTTGGGTAGATATTTAAAAAGGACAGAGAAGTTAATTCCTTAATACTTTTAAAAAATTAGGCTTTTTTTTTCTTTTAAATGTTTATCAGGTTAGGGATTGGCCAATTTTTAAGGCTAGCTTGTTATATATTTGCTTTTTTATATTGGCTCATAATTACTAGAAAATGATGGTAAAACAGTAACAAACTGACAGGGCCAGACTTGAGCTTAACGCTAATGTGTATTTTTTCCATACCCTTAGGGACATGAAGCCTTTTGGAAAGGCTTTCAAGAGGAAGAGCTAGTAGACTGCTCTGAAGTTGATACGAACTTCTCTGAGAAAAAGAACAGGGCCTGGAGGACCTGCGTAGGGAGCACCTGTGTTCAGATACCTGTGTCTCAGCCCTGCTTTTCTCCCAGCTGCTGCAGAGCAGAAGATTAGCAGACATGTCCACAGCACTCAAGCAAGTCTTTAATAAAGATAAGACTTTCCGCCCAAAACGCAAGTTTGAACCTGGAACACAGAGGTTTGAACTTCACAAACGAGCGCAGGCCTCTCTGAACTCAGGTGTGGACTTAAAAGCGGCTGTGCAGTTGCCCAGTGGAGAAGACCAAAATGACTGGGTGGCTGTACATGTTGTTGACTTCTTCAATAGGATCAACCTCATTTATGGAACTATCTGTGAGTTCTGCACAGACAGGACCTGCCCAGTGATGTCTGGAGGCCCTAAGTATGAGTATCGGTGGCAGGACGACATGAAATACAAGAAGCCTACAGCGTTGCCAGCACCCCAATATATGAATCTTCTTATGGACTGGATCGAGGTGCAAATCAACAATGAGGATATATTTCCTACGAGTGTAGGTAAGTGCAAAGAAGAAGTCCTAAAGCATAAACTGCCTTTCATTCTGTCTACTAACCATATTCTCTTCCCATCCTTGTTTTTAGGGATTGTGAAATTCAAGCCTTTAAACAGCAGGTGGGGAGGAGGAGGGTGTCTTGCAGGAATAGCATGAGATGTATGCAATGTTAACTGTGGCTGCTAGATATGGTGGGTTTTGTTAGCCTAAAATGTTTTCATTCTAGCTATTTCTCCCTGGTAAGCCTCTCAGGTTAATCACTAAGAGTGGTCAGCATTGCATTATTAGCTTGTTGAAAGCTAATCGAGTTTACATTGCTTTGCACTTTGCCTGGCCACTTAGGCAGATACAGAATGGATGGAAAGCAAAGCCTAATTAGAGTGGTACGCTCCCTTCAAAGTGTGTACAGCTATGCGCAGTACAAGGCAGTGGAGAGTCAGGAATGCAGGGAACTCTGCCCTCCCACCCTCTCTTGACTTCCCATCCAAAACTGATGAATTGGGAAGTGACTTACTCTCCAAATTACTAAAACTATATATATAACTAACAAGCTTCACTATGGTTTAACCAGACAGCCCAGATGATAGAGCTGTTAAGGGCAGCACAGTTTGCCTTTTATAATACTACAGTTCGTTTTCCTGAAGCGTGGGGTAAGTAGGTGGAAATATCTTTGCTGGAATAGTTCCCTGTAGATGAGGAGGACTTTGCAGAAGAGTGCATTTGGTAGTGTAGACAGTCTAAATCTTTAGCTATGGCTGCAGGTAATAAAAAAGATGGGTTGTTACATCTTAGAGATGTCAGTGATTCACTTCTTGCAAGTGGGGAAGCTGGGAGCTTGCTGTAAGAAATGTGAGAGTTTATATATAAGTACTTGGCCCAAATGAATAACAAACAAGAAGAATGCTCATATGTTAAAATTAGTTCAGCTGAGTATTTTGCAATTTATATGCAACTAGGGCCTGCGGCTAATTGGTAGATGATACATCAAGAAGCTGCATCTATCAGTATTTCCTGACCTTTGAAATACCTTATTCTTGGCCTTGACAGCTATTTGTCTGGACAAACTTGTGGTTTGTTTCCCAGTTCCTATCACTTTTCTTTTCTACACTAATAGGTAGAAAGAAGGCAGTAACTCTTATCTTTTAATCTGGACTTTGCCAACATAGCAAGAAGGAGGATTTCAAAGGAAGCAGTATCGTATATTTTGTGTAGTGAAAAATGGGTTTGATTTCTCAAGCATTTGTTGTTTTATGTTTCTTCAGGGTGATTTTTGGAATTGAAGGTAGGTTGGAGGTGCTGTGAGGTATGTGATTTTGCTTCTGTTGGTATTTCTGCAGGCTTTTGTTAGACCAACTTTCCACCTTGGAGTATTCCAGTATTACTCTGTGCTCTTGCAGTCTGCATATGCAGAAAATGTGGTCTGTCTGCAAGCATGGGGAGCAGGTAACACACTGGCATGCTGGTGGGTTTTACTGAACCAACAATCTGTAACACAAGCTTTCAGCTCTAGATGCTTCCCCTTTATGTTTTTAGCAAGATACATCTGGAGGAACTTTTATCCTGAAGGCTTACCTATTGAAGCCTAAGAATGGAATCAGTAAATACCCTCAGTCTACTGTTTTTCTCCTCCTGACTGCTCCTACTGTTGTAGATTAAATGATATCTGAAGAAACTGAGGAAGGGGAAAGACCTGTGGTCTCTAGAATGTGGCTGAACTCAGTTACAAGTCAGAACAGGAATGCTTAATGTCTGTGAAAAATCGTCTCACTCTGAATATGACCCACAGGAAGGGGAAACATCTGCTTGAGCCCCCATGGATTGGTGGACTGCCCCACGGTTCTGTTACAGACTGAGATCACTGGACAGTCTGATAAAGAGATTTTATAGATACCCTTTGGAGCATTATTCCATAGAGCAGCATTTGCATCTGTATTCCGCTCTGCCCTCCTCTTGAGCCTTTGTTGCAGACGCCACAGTGGCCACCTGCACACTTTTCATTATCTTCTTGATTCACCAATTTGTGGTATGAAACTGTTGGTAAAATTGCCTGGGAGGCCTTAGATCTTACAATTCAGAAACAGATGCACACTGCATTGAATTTGGCATTCAGGGTGCCTCTTCTCTCAGCAAGTCCCTACTTAGGCATCCAGAACAGTCAAAGGGAAGTTTGGGTCTGTTCCTGGGTAAATTACTTTCACGGGAATCTTTCTGATTTCTTTGCACATCAATCCCCTATCGGTAAAATGGAGATGATACTACCTGCCAGCCTGTGTGGGTACTGCTTATACAGCTGTTGAATGAAATGCAGTCGCTCAGCATGCGTATTGTTATGTGTTTCGTTTTTCACAATTGATGAGAGAGAAAAGCTTTGTTACTGTGTTGGGTACTGTTTGTTTGTACCTGTTCTGCAGCAGCCTTTGGTTAGATGCACCGTAGGCTTAGTATTAATGCCAACCTCTATTTTCATTCAGAGAAATTAATGATGGTGAAAATGACGATTGTTCATTCTTCAAAGCAGTTGAAATAGATCTTGAAATCTTGAAAACAGAACAGGCTTAGGTATGTCCTTACTAATAGTACAACAGTTTTAAAGCATTGAGTGGCTGTAACTTCAAGAGATTAAGATATTCCTTTGAATCTTTGTAGCATATGGTCTCTAGAGAATTGTTCTGGAAAAAGTGTATGTCCAGTGGATGGGATTTGGGCTGACCTTTCCATTAGCAAATGAGTTTGATGAAGAGATCAAGTGGGATTCATAGGAGCTGTGCACAGAAACTTGAACACACTTTTCTCAGCTTAATCCTGTTAAACTGGTCCTCTTACACTGGACATACCTCATGCAAACTATCTAAAAAGGGATTTCAAGAACTGTGACAAAGCGCAGCTTTCATTGAGGAGCTACTTTCAAGGAAAATTATTTCAGGATAGGGATAGCCAGGCTTGGTGGGCTTTTTGTGTGTGTGTGGTGGTGTTCCTCTGTGGTTTAAAAAAACACAAATGCAGTTGAGTTATAAATTGTTATGGATATTATATTTAACTCTCTCGGTATTTACATTGGCACGATTATCTCTGGCCACTTAGCAGTCTCTGTACTTCTTGTGGTCTGGTGCTGTTTCCTTTCTGCAGTCATTCTGATGTATTCATTTGCTGGTAAAGAGCTTCTTCCTCCAGCCACTCCTACTAATACTAAACTGGCTGGCAAGAGAAAAGGGAGCTGGTATGGGATGGAAGAGGTGTCAAGAATTGTGTGCAGGTGACAAAAACAGGTGCTGAATATTAGGACAACTTCTTTGTACAGCAAAGCTTTAAGGACTGTCTTTGTAAAATGGCCTCACAGCCTGTAGAGTATTTTAGACATGATTATGTCCTTGTTCTTATTTCCATTATTCTCAATTTCCTTTATTCATTTTACGTGGATTTAAGGCATGTAAGAGGCTGTATGTAACCACAGATACACCCTGACCTGTCTCAGCCCTCACTGAGTGGAAATGCGGGAACAGAACAGAACAGAGTTCACTCTGTATGCCTGCTCAGGCCACTCTGGTGAAGCTATCCATATTAATCCCCAGTATGATTTTTTGTAGTATGTGGAAGTTTTATTTAGCTTTAGGGTGAACTCTTTTTCTTCGGTAAATACTAGTTGCTCTTCCAGGCACCTAGTAGTCTCACTATTTAAACACCTTTCAAGGGATGCATTTCTCAGGCTTATATGGGTAACTTAAAGACTCCATAGCCTCAGAAGTACCTTTTTCTCCCCCCGTTACTTTTTTTATCTCTGTGCTTTTTGGTAGACAGGCCGAAGAAATCATTTGGAGCGGGAGGCAGTAGATCCTTGGGACAGCTGCAGTTTTTGGTGAACTGCAGTTGTCAGCTTTCACCATATGTATTTGGGCAGTATCAAAAAAGGAGCTAAGAAAGCAAGCAGCTCTCTACTGCTGTGCTCGCTTCAGGCCCTGATGCCCAAACAAGACAAATTTGCTTGCCTTAGGTTTTTTCTCCTCATCATTGCAGCCTTAAATTGGGAGTAATTCTGTCTTGTTTGGATTTTCAGTGAATGGAATGTTTTTTTCTGTTGTAAGAGTCACTGGGAAAGACAGCCAGATATTTAAAGCCACAGGGAATTATTTCATTTATTCTAATCTGACCTCCAGCGTAACGCAGGCCAGAGAACTTCACCACGTGATCTCTTCATCAGGTCCATAGTTTGAAATGGGAAGACAGTCGGAAGACAGAGAGTTCTGCTGAAATAAACAAGAATATTAACTTCTTTTCTGATTTGACATAATGAAAAACTTTTCCCGAAGAGGACAATAAAACAGTTGAGAGGGGGTTCAGAGAGGTTGTGCTGTCTCCATCCTCCAGGGTTTTCAAGACCAGGCTGGATAAAGCCCTCAGTAACCTGATGTTATCTGATGGCTAGATAGCCAGGAAAAGCAGAAAGCTGGGATGCAGACCTCCCAAAGTCTGTGCCAGTCTGAATTATCCTGTGATTCTTAATTCTAATTTCAGCACTGACAGGCTGCTTCAGGAACAAGAGCTAAATTGATTAGAAACTAAGCAGTTTAAGAAGCTGCAATTCAGCATTTAATGGAAATACAAAATCACTTTTAAGCTATGAGAGTTTTTTGTAGAGGAGGATTTCAAAGGTTATTAAGTTACTGTAATCAAATAGCCTAGTTATGGCTGATCAAAATGAAAACATACTTTTTAAAGTGTTTAAAGCCTAGGACTTCAGCTGAAAAATTAATGTGTGTTTAGAAATACACTGCCTGGTCCATGCTTAACTAGTAAATTTTGGTAGCGGGCAGCTTCAGAGTTTTTGCACAGAGCATGTGTGTGACGCTGCTTCCAAAAGAGTATGTCACCACAATGCATCTACAAAGCAGACCAAGACTCTGGAGGGCCCTCATGAATGTGATACAAAACAACCACTAAATGAAGAACTAAACTTTTTCAATTGTTTCTTAGTAATATTGTGGTAGAATTTTTCTGGTTCTCTAGCTA